CCACCCCTTCAAAATCCAATGTATATAAACATAAAACAGCAATACCTCACTGGCATTCTCAACACGACACGTAAGAATGGCACAATTACGCAAAAAACAAACACTTTGAGTGAGTAGAAATACTTTGATTGAATATCAAAAATATATTTTGCATTGTATAAATTCACTTTTTTCCACATCCTACATGTCTATGTTAAATTTAAACAATGTTTGTAAATCCCTTCCCTGAAGATGATCTCAATAGAGATCGAAACGTTGGCACGATAAAGAAAATGTTTTCTGACACCTACATTTCACCAGACCGCATCTCTCGATTTCTGGATAATCATTGACAAACGATCACTAATCATCACACAAACACTAGCTATAAAGATTAATAGTTGACTTAAAACGTAAACACAACATTAATAACTTGTTGTGCACAGATTAAAAATTAAGAAAATCAGTTCAATTTCATCCTCAGATCCAAATTGTCAAAGAATTTTTTTCAAAAAAACAATAAATTTGAGTACAACATTAAATTTCTTTTCTTAAAAGGACGGTTTTAAGTCTAGATCTCGACTGAGCAGATGCCAATGGCGGACATAGCGGACGTTAGATAGCCCAACTCCTGGGTGTGCCGCTATTCACGATGGCCTACAGCGGTTTAGGGCCACCGGAAGTCTTGATCGATGGGAAGGAAGTGGTCGAACGCGATATACGAGGGCTTCAGACGATAGCTCTTCGGAACTGTCATTTAACGGTATCCTTGATAGGCAGTCGACTCCAAGGTCCGTAATGTAAGGGTGAGAATAGCCTCTAGACATGCTGCATCAGTTTCTCTTCTACTGGATAGGCATCGAGTAGAAAGACGACTATTCACAAATCACCATCATGTTTGAACACTAGAACAATGAAAGGCTGTTCTCTTTACAGATGCTTTCTGGTTTGGTTTAGGGCAATCAGAGGTACGGGAGCGTTTGTGAGGAAGACGTGGAGAAGCTTTGCTTCATGTGACATGATTATCATACGGAATGGATCTTTGCTTGCACTATGGTACATTGAGGATACCACAATTGGTACATCCAATCGAAATGGCTATTCTCTAACTCTAGGAGGGGAATAAGGAGGCTGATAGGTATCCTAACGGGCCATTGCCCCCTGAGAAGACACCTCTTCATAATGGGTACTCTACCAGACCCCTTCTGCCGCTTCTGCGAAACAAAAGAAGAAACGGCCCGACACTACCTCGCAGAATGCGATAGGTATGCTAGGGAAAGATTTAATACTTTCGAAGGAGAGGACATAACCAAAACACTCCCCAGGATAAAATGGTCCACAATCCTGGGGTTTGTGAATAGGTCCAATAGGTTTATACAGGACTCGTGAGCCGACCAGGTCCCGGACTTTTTAGGGATGGGGTACGGGCCTACTCAGGCTTTTAACCCCTCGGGTCCTGGTCGCCCGCCCTGTGTAATATATATATATATGGTACATTGAGGAAGTTCTTATGGAAGCTGTGGTCCAATTCACTCCATTTATTGGGGAAAACTTGTTGTTAATGCATGATAATGTTCGACCGCATGTAGCTCGAGTTGTCACCCATTAGTTGGAGGATGTGGGGATTACCACAATGAATTGGCTAGCACGTTCTGATGACATGAATCTTAGAGAACACTCACGGTATAGATCAAACCGCTCTTGTTGAAGAATGGAATTATGTTTCACTAGACCAAATCCGGTGTTTTTGTATTCAATGCCTAGGAGACTTACTGTGAGGCCAAAGGAGGTAATATGTTTTATTTTGACCAAAACCAGGTAATAAATTGTTAAATGAATTGTAATCTATTACTAAATGATTTCTCATTGTTTTGGTGAATTTTTTTTCAAACCGTCATATTTAAATAATTTAACTGATCAATTTCAGATCTTGTTTAATTTGATTTACATTAAAATAAGTATGTTGCAATTAACATAACGATAAAAATACATAGTTTGGAATAAACAACAAAATGTCCGATTTTTTCTTTGAGAGCATGATTACGAAGCTATATATGAATAAAAGGAGAACATTTGCAACTCATGATATGGCGAACACATAATAAAATTAATATCATATTGTATTTTTTAAATAAATTGATATAAAATTATCGCGTACTATTAGCTCTTAGTGCGATGCTTTAGTGTGATGCTTTTTTTTTTTTTTTTTTTTTTTTTGGTACCCCTTGCAATCCTAAAGTCTTAAAAAGAAACTGAGAACTAATTGAAAACGATGGCAAAATTAAAATTCCAACAGGAAAAATGAAAAATATAATTGTCATTGCCCCAATCTTCGTACTTTTCTGTCGCAATTTGATCGTTAAATTGAGACAAATTTTCCAACGGGCAATTCCAAGCGATCTGATATCAAGAAAAGCCTCAGATTTCAATAACCCGATTTGACAGTTTGACCCCTGCGGACAATTAAATCAGATTATAATTCGGAGCGCAATTCAATCCTGAAAGGAGGCAATCCACGGCGTTAATATTATACTAAGCCGCCACTCCGGACTGCATTGATGGTGTAGACGTTTATCAAGTTTACAAATTGATTACATAGTTGTTCCCTTTCTGAAAACGCACTGTCCAAAATTGTTTTGATGGATGGTTCATTGTTGATGAGAAGGCTTGAAGAAATTGGTTATATATCAAATTGACTTACTTTCACAATGCAACAAAATTAAATTTTACTTTACAAGATCATAAAAATCACAAGCAAACTGACAAACAATTAGTAATTTATCTACCAATAAGACCGGATTTATATGTATTTAGATAATTTTTCTAACTTTCGTACATCTTTGTTGAAAATTTTATTTGATATTTTGTGTAATTTAGAAGCAAATAACACTTATTTTACTTCACATAGTCGTAAATATTTGGTGGATTTTATACTTTATTTTACTTTAATTTTTATATATTTGTCCATAGTTAATAAAATAAACACAAAAGTATTGTAAATTTTTAAAAATGAGCAAAGAGTGGAAAAGTGTTTCAGGGGACTATGGTTTCTAATACATAAAAATGTAATTTTCGAGAAACATCGACCCTACTCATAATCGTAAATGAATATGTACTTCTATTAAAATTAAGTTTTCAGGCTAGCTTGAACTCATATCCTCTGCCATCATTGGACTGTTCCCATTACATGTAGAGACATCGCATTGCTCTGCTAAGAATAAGATATACCTTGGTATCTAAAATGCTACAAGTTAATTCAAAATCTAAAGAACTTGAGGCAAAATATATATGTGAATTTCATAATGAAAGTACAGTGAGCTTTGGGGTAGCATGAGGAGCTTGTAGGTTCACTAGGTTGGATGGATTTTTCTTGGAGATCTGCAGTTTATTTGTTTGCGTATCTGAAAAATTGTTGTTCACGTATCTGAAGCAAAGCTTTATTTCATTTCTACTTCTACAATTGTGCCACACTTTTTTGAGAACAAATATACCTATCTTTAAATTAAATAATAGCCTGATGAAGAATTTTTATCAAAGTAGCTTGAATTATCCTAGCCCCCTTCCTATTTTATCCAAAATCTATGAATGCCTCCTCCTTGGAAGACTAATACCCATATTTGACTATGAAAATTTAATTCTTAACCATTAATTTGGATTCTGATCCCTCTGTTTTACTTTTGGCAGGGCTTCAGAGTGGTCAACACGATATCGTATGCTTTAAAAAACAAACAATATTGCTCAGCTGAACGTCTGGACATTGCACACACATTCGACTCAGTGTGGCATCCCAGTCTCCTTCACAAGTTAAAACATATCTTCCCTCACACCTATTATCTCATTTTGAAGTCATTCCCCTCGGAACAATGGTTTAAAGTGAGAATAAGGACCAATTTTTTACCTATCACGCCAATCAAAGCTGACGTTTCATGAGAAAGTATCTAAGGTCCAATCCTCTACACCATCTACACTGCTGACATACCTACATATCCTAACACACAACTCACAACCTATGCTGATGACACCACAATTCTATATACACACTCCAATCCTATCATAGCCACAGAAGGAAATCATCTGAACCTGATCATGCAGAACAGGTTGAACAAGCAAAAATGCCAACAAGTAACATTTATGCCCAAACGTCAGACCTGCCTACCAGAGCAAATAAACAAGTTAATACCTCCTTCCAACCAATTCTGATATCTTGGGCTTTCCTTACATAGCAGACTTACATGGATGTATATAGAAAAATTAAAAATACAACAATTTAACAAAAAAATCATATCTGGACTACTCAGACAGCTATTGGGACCAAAATCACCACTAAGCTTATGTAAGAAACTAAATACTCACCAGATGATTTTGGACTTGCAGAGCCGAACTTGGGACTCCTTCATCCAATGAATCGAACTTTTTAATCCAAAGTTCTCTGCAATATTCTCAATGTTCCCTTCTACATCCTCAATCAAATGATCCATACAGCTCTTAAAATTCTCAAATAAATTATATACTCTCAATTACCAAAAGTTAAAAGTCTCTCATGAAGGATCTGATCCGAACATGCTAGCTCAATTTCCACTCTAAACTACCGCCTATCTTTCCTCAACAACCCGCTCTCATAATCTACCGTGCTGGTTTTCTCCCACTCTGGACTCACAGATCTGTACATAATTATCTGCTGAAACTACAGAAAATTCACAATTCTATTATTAGGTATATTCTTTCTTTTCCCACATTATTCAAACAATGTGTTAATTATTATTATTTTTAAATCCATAACTAATTTATTTTATTTTACATATTTTTCTTTATTCCTTACACATTTATTACAAATAAATACATTATATATATATGTATGAAAAATCCACTCCAAAAAGCAAAATGTAACCCAAATACTGATTTAATAATCATTTGGAGTCTCTTGACAGTTTACTCGTTAGAAGCTTTTACAGAGTTGATTTAGCTTTCTACATGTATCGTAATGAAAGTTTAACTTCACAATAACTGACAACATTGTGTGATGACTTTATGATGATAATTGTACCTCTTTATTAGTTTTATGGTACAAGTTTTAACAATAAATAAACATATAAAATAAAATCAGACAGCAGAAATGAAAATAGTTATATATCATAGGTACAGAAAAACAAAATCCATGTTATAAAAATAAAATTTATGTACATCATTTAACCTATTGACAATGGTTCTTTAGAGTGCTTAGCAATTATTGAGAGCAAATCTTCAACCTCTTGTTCTGTCAATCTTTCATCATAATTGCGCATAATCTGCAAAAACACAAATAAAATATATATTTTATAAAAGGTTATAAATACAAAATACTTACAAGTGATAATTCCAATGCAGTTTTAGGAGGCGTATTGACAATCATGAGTTTTTCACGATATGTCAGGGGAATCGGAAAGTCCAAAAGAGCTTTTAGCAGATTCCTCACATCCTGCTCGGACTGCTGTGCATGTAAGTTATGCAAATATTGTGAAGTCTATAAAAAAATCATAACAAATTTATAGTAATACAATAATAATTGTGTAGTTTCAATAAACTTTATTTAAAATATAATCACTTCATATAAAATTGTGGCAAATTGGTTTCCTGATTTTGTACTAATCTGCGAGTTGTCTTTCAACTCATTAAGCAGAGACAGTACCTGAAATTTATAAAAAAATATTATATATATTTCCAATGATATATTTAATATGGCCCATAACAAAGAGGGTTTACCTCACAATTGCTGAGTGAGGCAACTTCTGGATTTGTTCTAAAACATTAAAATACAAACTATGTTTATTATATTTCTCTAATCAAATGTTGTTATAAGTAGTTCCAAAACAATAAGTGTGAATTGGCGAACTATATCAAACCTCTTTATCATGCCCTAAAAGTGCTCTATGGTATTCATTCACGAGCTGGCCTTCATTGACAACTTGGGCTGCATGTGGTTGAGCATTAGCATGTGTTAACACGATGTTGTCCCCAATATAATGAGCAAATGTGATCACAACTTCCATAAAAACTTCCTTAAAGTATCTTAGCGCAGTGAAAAATCCATTCTGTATAATCAATTGCTGTCTTTGCAAAAGATGTGACTCGCAAATGGCACATTAAGAAAAGCTGCCCACACAGAATCCTGGACATCTAATTGCCACAAATTAAATTGGCATTCATTTGTGAAGAGAAAAGTTCCCATTGTTTAAATGTGTGAGCAAGTTGCTGATTTGAGAATAGTTGCCTTTCTACTCGATGCCTCTCCTATATTAGAGAACCTAATGCGGAACTATACATTAAGTTATTCCCACGAAGCCTTCTGATGACTGTTTTAGTGCTCAAACTTACATTACTGATATTTGGAGTTGACTACCTATCAAACGACAAAGCAATTGCATCTAGCTGTCGTTCATCACAGTCGACCACTACCTTCTCTTCGATCGAGACTTCCGGTGGCTTTGATTGATTGGTTGATCATGACAACAGATCAGGAACATATTATAGGTTCATTACCTTAACCATTAACACATTTCACAAACTAAATCAATAAAACTTTAAATTTCTGAGGCGAAGGAGACATCACATTGGGTTCTATTCTGTGATCACTATTGCAGTCGTTAGTAAATCATATGTTTCTTCATACATCTCATCAATCAACTTTCCAGCATTAGTTTTCACTAATAATTGTTAATGACTGTGCAAATAGAACCAAGCCTTTTCAGGACTCAACTATTTTGTCAGCCTATCGTTGCTGGATTTATAAAATGGTACTATTTCCTTGTTTTCGTTAACAGTTAAAGTTTTAATAAAAACTAAACAAATGGTTGGTAAATATGTCTAAATTGACAAATTAATTACTTACATTTCCATCAATAAAATAATGCCTATTCCTTATTTTTATAAGACGTATTCCTTATTTTTATCAGACGCTACCAATTGAAAAACAAAGAAGGTTCTGTGCTTGTTACGATGTACCTTTTTCGTAACCTTCTTACTTGTTTACCTCGTTCCTTGGGGTTTTGCAGCAAGGTCCTCACGATCAAAAGAATTGGATGTCTTTGTAGCATACATTTCTTATTATTTCTATTATTATATTATTACATTTCGTATTATTATTGTAAACAATATGAAGGCCAACGGATCTCTCATTTTATCTGTTTCGAAGGTATTTGTATTTCTTTATATACAATAGTTAGGAAATTGATCTATTAAACCTGTAAATTTGCCCTTTAATATTGAAAAGTACCCAAAGATGATTTTTTTTAGGTATTCTTTTAATCAAATTATCTGAAAGTAGTTGCTACAAGCTTATGTTTGAAATTTGAAATTTTACTCTAAATGAAGATGTTCATATGCAAAGAGATCTATGCTACTATTCAATTTCAGGATTACTACATATTCACTACTATATATACTCATATATACTCCACTATTTATAGTTTATTATATGTAAAGTACACAATATACTATACTATAAATTCACCATTAATTGTATAATACATTTTTAATTTATTCTTAATTCATGAACATTTCCCTCTGCATGAATGAAAGCTGTTGTTTTACCCTTACCTAAAGATTCTTCACCATCATTCCCAAATGCTTTTTGATCAATAAGTGTTCTACCCTCGTTATCTAAAGCTCTAGAAATCATTATGTTCACTGCTTTCACCTTTTCAGTCTGGTTTTCAACATCAACATAAGAGTGTTACTTTTCTTTTGCAATGCTTTTAGGATGGTCGACCATACTTATTTAGAAATTTGAACATTTGTTTGGTTTTTCGTCCCCTAGTTCTAAATTAATATTCTCTTATTTATCAGGTCGTAAACAAGGTGTCAAACAACCTAATAACAAATTCTCATCTGATCTTCTTCTTAAGTTTGGCGTTCCTCAAGGTGCATTTTTAGGGCACTTATTGTTTTCAATTTTTATTAAAGACCTCCCTTCTTATTTAAATTACTTCAAATTTCCCTTATATGCTGATAATACCCAAATCTATACACAATGTCCCCCTCATCCCTGTTTCCATTCAACTCAACAAAGAACATTCTAGCTGGGGTAATTGGGCTTCAGACAATGGTCTCAAACTTAACCCACTCAAATCCCATTGTATAATTGCCCACATCTGCCAACTCAGGATTTTCCTTTGCATTACTCTTGGCTCTTTAATACCCTTCTCTAACCAGGTAAAAAAACTTAATGTGAATTTTAATACCAGATTATTTTAGGGCGTTTATTTATGCTTTGTTGCTAGAAGGGTGAAAGGGACTTTACATTCACTTTGGAAATATCACAAATTTATCTCTCCGGCAATAAAAATTATTCTAATGTACTCTTATTTTACCGTTTTTTATTTATTGCAGTACTACCTACTGTTCACTTAATCACTTAATCAAACTTCTACTAAAAAAATTAGAATACTTTTTAATAATTGGACAAGATTTGTATTAAGTTACGAAGAAGAGAGCATATCTCAACACATGACAAGTTCATTCTAGATATTAATTTATTTGATTACCTTAAACTCCAATCTCTCATTTACTTATTTAATATGAAACATAAGCTCGGCCCATCATACTATTCATTACATTCAATTTTAATTCTTCCTGTTTTAAATATTATAAAAAGCTTGCATCATGTATCTGTGGAATTCCCTTCTGCGAAATATTAGGTCAGCTCACTCCCTCCGGGCTTTTAGGCAGCTTTCAACTTTTTTCTAAACAATTGATGGTTTGATCAAACTAACACGATCTTGTTGCTATTCTCTTTTTCTTATTTCTTTTATACTTTTCCTCCTCCTTCTCTCCTTCATTCATATTCAACTATGTTAATATCTATAGAAATTTTGCTTATTAATTATTATTTCCTGCAATATATTTTGTAACATTTTTGTTATTTAATCATTTTTATATTTTTCTACTCCTGTAAAGGGGCCAAGCTGTATTGTGAAAATGTTTTGTTTTTCTCTCTTTTTTTGATAAGTATATTTCTATTTCTTTATAAATATTATTAATTTTAGATATTTCATAATGTTCTACGGCCAATAGAAGTAACATCGATTGCTAGCAGGTCAATTCACTTGACAGCAGCTTGTGAAAAGAAGCAAGCAGGTCGTTACAAAAGGTCTCCAAAAGGTGACAAGCCGCTGAATTACGAGCAGGCCAACCCGCCGCATACAATTGCTCATTTGAAGTCATGGAACTCGTGGAATACTTGTAAGCAAATCAGCTTTGTTTGTTGAATAGCTCGACTAATTTAATTTTTTCCCCTAACAGCCAACCTCCAAGGCGGGTTGCGGCCTGCAAAGACCCTTTTTGAAGATGTATTCATAAGAAAATTCATGTTTGGTACCTGGCACAATTTATTTGTGTCTGAAGTCATAATCAAACGCCAGCACAATATGATAAGGATAGCTGGGATCATTGTCCGCTCATTGCCTCCCAGGAAGATATACTTTCTAATCGGCTATACAGAAGAAATTCTAAGCTACTGGCTGCAATGCCCTACCAAACTTGAACTCCAGACTGTCGATAGCCGAAAAGATGTTACTTTCAAATATATCTAATTCTATATTTTAATTTCAAAATGAATTGTACAATTAGTGTTTTTGTAGAATTTTGTATATAAATATACTATATTTAAGGTCAGTGTTTTTATTGAAATACAAAATTACAGTTTTTCTCTTTGCATGTGGCACATATTCAACATTAGTCAATCTAGATTTTATTCAATAATTGTGGTCAGTGGTGTAAAATTAGGTATTAGGTAATTTAGACTTTAAAAAAATCAAATGTGATGGAAACTAAACACTTCAGGCACCCAAATATAATTAATAAAATCAAACCCCCCCCATTCTTAAAAATAAGGATACCGAAAACACTCTTTACGACATCCTATAGTCTCAACAGATACAATTTATCATACAGATGGCTCAAAAACAAATTAAGGAACCAGATCAGGCATTTTCTGTACAAGCCAAAACATTTGCAAACTCATTAGGGAACTACACCTAGATCTTACAATCTGAAATACATGCCATCAATGTTTGTGCCTTAGAAAATCTTAAAACAGGTAACACTGACAAAAATCACTTTAAAACTAGTTAGTTAATCTATTCAAAATTTGGGGAAACACAATAACCTAATAATATTGTATACAGGGAACAAAGGAATTTTGGATAACAAAAAGCAGTCACTGGCCCTGAACCTATTTTTGGGATAACAAAAACCAACACAGAATAGTTTGACAAAAGGAGAAGTGGATAAACTCTGGGGGTGCTAGACACAGTAAGCATATGTTAAAACAACTCTCGCCAAGACTCACTGCTAAGGCTGGTATACACTCGACAAAATTGCACGACTAGGTCTAAAGACAAAGTTCTGCGATTATCTTTATTCAAATCGGGAACAAATAGATTGTTCTGCAACTAACTGTAGACAAAAGTTGCAAATCTATTGGATGGAAAACTTGAGACGTGTTGCACAACATTTCATTAGTGTTAACCCTAGAGAGGCTAGAATGGTTGCTCTAAATCTTGTTTCTTGCTTGCGTATTTTATTTTCAACCGTAAGTAGCAAGATTTCAAAATCCGTGGTGGTTAGCTGGATGAAATTTCTGAATTTCTTCTAATTTTAATTTTTCTAGACAAGTGCTAATACGTTCCTTGTCCACCGTCGTTTAGGATTAATATTCCTTTCTTGATCACAAATTAAAACTGAACAAACAGCAAAGCCGCAGGCTGCTACCTCACTTGTCATGTATCGAGGAAACTTGTTTAACTGAGCTGTGCAGGTGAAGACGCGTGACAAAGTTTCTAGATTATCTTGGATTTGTTCCACAACAGTGTACAGACAAAATCGACGATTTGTCTATAGACAGTGGCAAGATTTTGTCTATGAGAGTGTACTAGCACCTACAGTTAGAGAGGGCTATCCTCAGAGGAGTGAGTGGACTATATGCCGGTCACTGGCATCTGGGAAAACTTCTACATAACATGAATATATATATATATATATATATATATATTCAATTATGACCCCCATATATAGGGTAAAGGAGGAAGAAACAGCCACCCATATCAACTTTAAATGCAAAGCTACTACTCAATGGAGACGTAGCATGGGATACAAAGAAAACCCGGTGAAAGGAATTGTAGTAATGTCAATGAGCTATCAGTGACACTCTTTAGGAGAAGGATCGAGTCAGTCGCACTGAACCAAAGAACGAGGAAAGCACAATAAACTGGAAAGTTGTAGTGCTTGACTAACCTAAAACCTAAAACCCCCACTTCATAGTATCCATATTCATCATCAGAGTAAAAAATCAATAAAACTAGAATTTATAAACATTACATTGTATAAGTATTGATTTTGTACTTAGTTTTTATTTTCCTAACCATATTTTTAATACATGATGTAAACAGATAGGTTTCATTGTGTTGACTCATCTACACAGAAACCACACACTTTGAGCACTGAAGATGATCTCAATAAAGATTGAAGCATTGGCACGATAAAGAAAATGTTTTTTTAAACTTGTAGTGGGAAACTACGGTACCCGCTAAGTGTTACTACCAGTTTTGGAATGGTCTTGCCCTCCACTCTGCCACGATAATCAGAGCATAGCCAGTGTGAATATATAAGCAGGGGCACTGCTCAACTTGCTATATTGTTCAGACTCGTCAACCCGATGAGGTCCCACACATACCTCCTTACTTGTCAACCCGATGAGGTCTCACCATACTTTGAGACTCATCAATTGGGCGAGGTCTTACTCATACCCTCAGACTCGTCAATCCGATGAGGTCTCACTCATACCCTCAGACTCGTCAGCCCAACGAGGTCTCACCAATCACTAATTGACAACAGCAGACTCGTCAACCCAACGAGTTCTGGCTTATCACTAATGAAGCACCACAGTGGCAAGGGTACTCTCAGCGTTAGCCTCAAACTAGCCTTCTCAACGTAGCTGACTTGGCTACAGGCAAATCGCTGCACTCGGCCAACTGTTGCACCAGAGTCCCTTCAACCGATGTAGTCAGCCGACTCACGTCCTCCACCTCAGCCAACTGCTCTATCTACCAACAGGCACACACACTCAGTCCGGGCATAGATACATCATCTCAACGCTATGCTTCCAAACAATGCAGGCCCTTGTCAGATTTGAATTGAAGTAGCTGAAAAATAGAGTGAGGTCAACGAGAATTTATGTTTGAAAAAGGACTAATTTCCTATGGAAGGAGGGACCCCCGGAACACAAACTGGGCAAGGTTCACTGAGATGGTAACACATAGTGTAAACCATGCAACAGTGAAAAGAGTACTAAAAACCTGCAATGAATTAGAACTTGCAGTCAGAGAACTACAGGAAATATAATTGATGCATATGAAACAAGCTGCCCTGTAAAGGTCCCAAAAAGTAGACAAGAACCACCTTGGTGGAATGCAGAACTGGGCATATTAAGAAAAGAAACCAGGAAAGCGTTTAACAAGGCTAGACTAGGAAGTAACTGGGGAGAATATAAAAGGTTACTTACTTCATATAACCATGCCATCCGCAAGGCGAAAAGAGAGAATTTTCGCAAATTCTGCAGAGAAATCTCCACAGTATCCACAGCAGCTAGATTGCACAAGATACTAGCAAAGGACAGATCAGATATAAACACTGCCCTTAGAAATACAGAAGGCAAATACACAGAAGACATGCAACAAAAAGCAATGCTCCTTCTAAGTACACATTTTCCAGGCAGTACCTCCCCAGAAAACTGGGCAATTAACAGGCGATTAACACTTTCAGCCTGTACAAAGCACCAGGAATGAATGGAATCTTTCCCATCCTGTTACAAAAAGGAATGGATATAATTACTCCAACACTGCTACGAATATACAGAAGCAGTTTAGCACTAGGTTATATACCATAGACATGGCTTAGGGCAAGGGTGGTGTTTATACCAAAAGTGGGGAAAAGAGACCCCACATCCCCCAAATCCTCCACATCCCACATGTAGATTCTGCAAGGAAGCAGAAGAGACACCAACACACTTACTAACAATCTGCGGAGCTACATTAGCGCGTTTTGGGATGTACAAATAGAAGAACTACAACCACTGAAACCGGGACAATTAATCAAGTTTCTTGACTCACCGATGTGCTTTAGGCAGAGCAGAGGGGATACAATAGCTCTTAAAGGGCGCAGTATACCATACCCTGAAACATTATATCTACATCTATCTACATCTACATGGAAGGAGGGATGAAGACAGGATAAGTCAGAATGTAGTTGTGAGACTCTGGACATTTGGACGGCGCCAAAACGAAATCTGACACAACAGTTCATAAGCCTTTCCAGACACTTTTCATGTTCCTTCGAAAGCCCAACATAAGTGACACATCTGTAGTCGAAGAGGGGAAGGGCGAGTGAGTTGACAAGGAGTTTATGAGTTATGAGTGGTGAAAGGTAGAAGCCAAGCCCAGCGTTATTGAAAGAGGGATGCAATACAGTTAATATATGTTTCACAAATTGATGTTATGTATATATATATATATAATATTTATTGGCCAACAAACATGAAGTGGTCATTGCTGGCCCTCTGAGCTTTAAATATTTTTTTTATTTTTCATTCATGCATCTTTGTCACTGAATCTGTCATCATTTGTCTCCTGTTTTCTTAGCTTGCTAACCTGTTGAAGGTACTTCAGGTTGTCAAAAGACTATTAAACGAACACAAAAAACCATAAATACATAACATGAAGATTTTCATGTTTCCATACTCAATATAAGGGTACTAAATAAATAAATATATAATTTATTTAAACTTTTTATTTATTTTTTGTGATTTATATTTATAAAATAAATAATTCATTTCAAATATATAAACAGAAAAAGAAAATTAGGAAAGGGTAGACAAACAAAAATTAATAACTGCCAATAGTCAGTGTTATTATTATTATTTTTTTTTTCGAAGTCAGATATTACCTTTGCCTGACTACGTTTTTTTTTAAATATATATACATCTTTATATTTTATTATATATATAAGCATATATATATATTTAATTAATTGAATCCCAAAAGTATAATAAATATAATACCTTATTTAAAAATGTAACATAAATTATATTAGGCATAGAATATAATTTGGTCCAAAACAGGATAATGGTTTGTTTATATTTTCATCTTGTAAAAATTGTTGGATGTAAATGTATAATGTATATAAATAAAAAATCTTTTCATTATAATTCCAATCACAACTAGACATATAAACAATTGCCTTGCAACTTATATGAAACAAAAATATATCTCTGCTTATATTTGCATAATACAACACCTAGTAATAAACAAAATTTCACTCTATGCATATGATTATAACCATATTTAAATGGTACTAATATTATCATATATACATATATATGTGTATATATATATATACATATATATGTATATATTTATGTATTTTTCAGAATGATAAACTGAGTTTCAAACGGTCTTGTTCAGCCAGCATGAATCATTCTGTCATATGTAAACCATGTACCTACAATTTAAGTAAATTATATGTTCCCATAAAACAATATGTATATAAAACATATACATTATGTTTGATATATATAATTTTTGTTTTCTTTCCAAGGTTGGAATATTAAAAAAATGGATGGCAAAATAAATTAATACCCTCGTATTGGTATTTTCTGCAAGTTTGAATACAGCTTAAATTCTGAAACTCTTTAAGGCATTCAAATATATTTGAAATTAATTTAAAAAGCAAGTTCTTGGGGATTATTTTTATAAAGATTTAATTTTGTTAAGATATATAAAAGAAAGGGGGAAACAATTTTTCATAATGATTGTACTAAATTGTTCATTTATATAAACTAGGTTACAAATTCAAATGAATAAATATTAAAAAATATTTTTTTTTTAAACTTTTGTACTGTGATTGTTTAGGTTAGACATCAGACCTTTGTCTAAACATTTGTAACTTTCAATTTTAAAATTTTTAAATATTTTTTTTAATATGTCACAGAGCACACAATACACCTACGGGTATTAAGTCTAAGATGTCGTCAGTAATACTCAGAAACTAAATTTACATGCACCTACACTCTTAACAAGCTGGTAACACAGAAATATTTAGAATATAGTGTTTCACAATCTGAGTCAACCACCATTATAATACATCGCGCACAATAAAATGAGATCATGTTTAACAATTAATACAAAAAAAGAAAGGAAAACTGCAAAAGGCACTGTTTTTTTGCACGTCAAATCTAAAAATCTCCGTCCAACTCATTGCTTAAATAATTGTACACCAAATGTTTTCTGCTTCAAGGCCAGAAAGCTATAATGGAAGTTGACACATCATTTTACATTTACTATTATATATAATAACAAATTTACTCGCAGGAAAGAGTGTAGGTTTGTCATATATATCTACATTTTAAAGAGATTTAGTTTCTTTTTTGGTTTACACATATAAAATTGCACACGTTCACATAGTTGAGTTATTGTTTTTCACATTACCTAAGTTTAATACTTCTGATGGTCTCATGTTGTTAATATTTAATTGTAAAAATTTTATTTTGAAATTATTCGCAATCAAGTGCGTAAATGCAATGAACAATATAATATCTGATCTCTCTAACATATTGATATATGTGACAAGGTCTTTATAATTTATTTTATTAATATATATAATATATGGGATTTATATAAGTATAATACATCATAGACCTCCCCCCTCAATAATCTATAGACTCCGGTACGCACAGAAAACATATCAACTTTCAATTTATACTTCTTAAATACTTATTTTGATTGCTTTAACACTGGTTTGTCTATAATATATATAATAATTATTATATAATATATAATAATAATAATAATAATTAATAATAATATACTCTTTGTTGGATCAGAATACTTTTCTCTTAATAAAATCTCTCACTAATCCTTGTTTTACAAAAGTTAAAAAATTAATCGGTCAACATACTCTAGAAGTAATGCCCATCTCTGTATCCATGATAAAACTTTCAATTGGCACCAACAAAGCGTATAGTGAAGATTGTGTTTTGTGTGCGTACGGGTCCCACTAAGATGTAATCACATTTCTAATATACTAATAAAACCATGGTAAAAGCTGTTAGTACACAGAGATAAATGAAGAACTTTTTTTTGTTTAAATATCCTTTTAGAATTCAGTCACGCATGATTGCAAATCATTCGTCCAACATACATGTCCTATTCGAAGTATACTTCTACTTTTTTAAATTTTTTAAACTACTTTTGGTTCCAACAACAGTTAAAATATAATATTTCAATAATCATTAATTATTTTATTTTAATTACTTCAACTATTGTAACTATCAATTAAATCTAATAGAAGAAAACTGGCCTCCACTTAAATAAGTTTATCATGTGCCAATATAATGATTATTACTAGTAATAAGAATATTTACAAAATATTTAAATACATATTTTTGTGGCCACTAAATTTTCCCCCTAAGTGGCCAAAATTGTTATATCTACAAATGGGGATTTTTTTTTAATTTTTTATTTTTTTTAAGGATTAAAGATCATTTACAAAAGGCGGTCACAGGGTCACTTTTAGGAATATTGGTCAATTGCAGAGCCCTTTTGCTCGACCATCAATCCTTTAAAAGGATTAAAATAAATACAAAATTTCTTTTCTTTATTTCCTCCCGGTGTAATACATCAAACTTCGGCGAACGGCACACCATTTACATTAGCACAGTCACAGAAAGGTTGCGAGCATTATAATTCTGTATCGTTCAATAACTTTTTTTATAATATATATAATACACATAGGTTTTAATCTTTAGGAAGTTGTGTCGTGAATGAAACAACGTTGTTTCAAACACATTACACGAATTGACGATTTGATAAAGGAACTAAAAAAACCTGCCCGCTCGATTGGTACATCTTTTCTGATCTGAGCTACAATGTCCTTCCTTATGTAACGGGAAATAAATAATTCGAGGTGGGTTCTTGTCTCACAGTTATAAAACTTGTAAGGAACAAAATGTGCGTGCACTATTTAACAGTGTCTCTTTTCACATTGGTGTGCATGGCAACTCGAGAATATATGCAAAAGGAACATTACAAGGTACTTTGTACAGTTTCCACTCATTCGAACAGAGCCAGAATGTCATCACTCGTATTCGCCCCGGGCGTTCCCATGTTGCCGTTGCTACTCGCACCGCTACTCGGAGGAGTCGCAAGGTCAGGTGGGTCCAGATATGATAACAGTTCCATTGGATCTACCACATTGTCAGGTAAAAGCTGTAAAGCAGAAAAAACTATTACTATTACAAAAATATATTTTTAATGGAAACAAAGAATTCTACTGGCAAAGATTAAATTTCTATATGAATTTAAAATACACCAATAATACCAGCAGCTTGTCTTACATATCACATGAAGATTTTAAGATGCAAAATATGCTTATCTAATTAAAAAATTTAAGTTCTACTTACATTGAGCCCTTCTTGCCCTTGACCTTCACCATCAATGACAGCCGCAGGGTCAAAATTGAGGTCAGAAGGAATGTCATCTGGTGGATTTCCTGAGGTGTTTTCACTGTTGGACGGCGGAACACTTGGTGGTCCACTTCCGCCTGCACCGCCACCTGCCCCTCCGGGTGTGTGAGGTGTATGAGGAGTATGCGGGGTGTGAGGTGTGTGAGGCATCTGTGGTAGATAATTACTAGAGTTAATTTTCTTCTTTCATAGAAAAACTTAAAAAATATATTACATATTTTAATACTAATACTCTCATATCATTAATTGTACCTGTTCATTTAAGGACTTTTCCATTGCATTGAGTGGGTCGAGTGGAGGTCCCGTGTCATTCAGATGTGATAGGGGTGTCGTACTGAAATCTGAACTTGATGTGGTGGCAGGGTTGAACTCGTACCCCCTCCCCATGGAACCTGCCGGATACGGAGGGGGGCCATTTGAGTTCATCATCGAACCACTTGCAATACCTGATATCAAATTATTTTAATGAATATAAAGTATTTCATGAATAAAAGGAAAAAAATCAAGTAACATACTGTTCATATCTGGGGGAATGTAAGGTGACATAGACTGACTCATGTCCCAGTTGTTCATTGTTGGGAGAGTCATGCTGCCAGGAGACATTGCCTTGTTTAGCCTCTTACCACCACAAGATTCAGGCTCATCTTCTGTCTAAAGAAAAAAACACAAAAAAAATCAACAACACATTAATAACTGAAAAGAAAATGCATTATTAATTGTTTCATTTTCTGTACAATTTCATTATTTTAAACTTTTATTTCATATAAATATTATTACTAAATGTGTGATTACTTTAATTCCTTGTAGGCCTCTAGATGGTTTCCAGTTTGCAGCAGCATCAATCGTCACCTCTTCTACCTCTGATGTGTTGAGCGTATCCAAGATGCCCCACATGTACTGGTCAACCTCCAGGCCTTCCAGTTGTGCAGGTTTGCTGTAATAATAGAAGTTAAAATTAAAATACTACAATCAAAAAACTTTAAGTTAAATTAAACTTTAAAATAGTTTGTGAACCCTGAGAGATAACAAAATCTAGACTCACTTGCACACTGGACACCTCCACGCTCCTCGCTCACAGTTCAGTTGAAGGTACGACTCCAAATCAAAACATTGGATGTGCTTACAATCGTGTCCTCGTGCAGGAAGCGTTATTTTCTTAAAGGTAATTGGACACTTGAGAGACACCTGACGAAAAGTAAACAGTGTACATATTTTTACATTTGCAGATGATGCAGAAATTATTATAAAAACACACCCAAAAAAAAAAAAATATATATATTATCACTCACAATTACCTTTAGAGCAGTTTGCTCAACACCGTCTTTATCAACACAGTTGTATGGCGAGTTCGCTGAGGAGGTATTGCTGAAATTCCTTTTGATTTTGGCAATGCAGTGATCTGCCGTCAGGAGCCTTTTCTTTAGAAGACCTTGTAAGACGCTCCTTACGCTTGGCCTATGAACAAGTTGGAGGACAAAAAGGTGGGACTGCAAAAAAAAAAAAAAAAAATTAAATTATAACATCGGCCTATAAAATCAAATGTAATATCTCAACCAAGAAAATGAACATACACAACAGCAAGCTGAGACGGTTATTTGTATTGTATTCCTTCCAGCTTGACAGACTTCCTTAAGGTACAAAGGTTTGTGGGAAGTCTTGTTTTCACCTCTGTCTATTGACAGAGGGGTGGCGTTGACCGACACTTGAACACTAGCCGGCCAGTTGGTATTCATCGCTCTGTCTTCATGGTGAAAACATTTCAGTTGAAGCTCCAGATCTGACCTACAATTTACGTAAATAATATAAATGAGAAACTTCTACTTCCAGTGTAATTCTTTGTATGTGAAAATCCAAGTACCTCCACATTAACGTTTGGTGAACAGTGGTCTTGAGCTGGAAAACATGATTGCTAACTGCTAGATTATGTTCTAATCTAAATGGGGGTAGGATTATCCCATCTCTCACTGGGAATGTTAACCTCAGCTCATCATCTTCTAGAAAAAATATAATTAATACAAGGGAATAAGAAAATGTAATGCTTGAAGTTTTATATGGTTTACTTTGTGGAAGTGGTTGCTGTTGTTTGTTGAGCTCGTTAAAGGTCGGCTTGATATCTGGATAGGGAGGCATTGAATTAGCTGGTGTAAGAGGTGGAGTAGGGTTGCCCGGTATCGGACTGTGCTGGTAACTTGTCCTTTCTTGGCCAAAAGCTCCAGGAGGTGCTCCACCATACCCCTGGTACTGATAAGGTGGTGTTGTTTGCCTCATACTGCCGCCTCTTGTAGCGGTAGGTGCTCCAGCTCCCATCCCGTTCCCAACAAATCCCATCTGCTGGCTTGGATATTGGGTCTGGAAACTGGGTCTGGCCCCATAACCACCACCATATTGCGGTTGGTTGCTCGGTGGGAAGGGCTGTTGCATATTCGGAGCAGGACCCGGGCTTGGGTACTGTCCTCTTTTTTGGTTCATATGCATTGCAGGGCTTGGATATGGCGCTAATCGCCTTGGGTAAACCTGACCTGCACCAGCCTGTAAAGAAATCATCTATTAAAAATGAGCAAACAATTTATACAACTATTAAGAATAGAATTGTGATGAATACTAATCATATTTGAATCCTCATTTAAAGTTTGAAACAAGTAAACATTTTAGAATATTTTTTTATTAACTAAAACAAATATATTTTTCTTATGAAATTATTTTAATTAAGTCTCAGTTACTCAACTCGGGTGATTAGAAACTGGCACCGAATTTTGAATATCAAATAATTGCCTATATTGTATTGTTCAGAAAATTTCCAATTGCCCTTGTTTAGCAAACGGGTCACGAAATTTCAACTTTGAAGTATTGGGTTGTCCGGAAAATAATGCAGGATTTTGGTATTAAACAAAAAAAAAGAAACTAGTTACTTTAAAGCAATGTTCTTTAATCAAAATAATTTCNAAACAAACAATATCATTTGGAAGAGGATTAATAAGTGTTGACATTCATACAAATGAGTAATCCTGTAAACGTAAACAGAATATTTTATATAGATTTTTTTAAATGAAAACTTAAAATCCTGCATTATTTTCCGGACAACCCGATAGTTAATTTGAATATAATTAAAAAAATATATAATTGAGTCAATATTGTAACTTTCTAAAGCTTGGTAATACTCTATTTTTAAATTAACAAGATCATTCAACCAGTTTTCTTCTTCTTTTAATGATTTAAAAGGATTTTAGATATATTTGGATTTTCGCTGATAATTTTAAACGTTTTTTTAGATACTGTCGAAAAAAAGCTAAGACAATTTTTTTTTAATATGGTAGTTGTAGGACAGGTGAATAAAATTACACAGTAGCCAATTAACCCTAAGAAGAGCTTACAACTTGTTTTGTCTCACCCCCACTTTGGTGATTATCTTTTAATAAAAATTATGTAAAACATTGGTTAATATTTGTACAAGCTTGTTTCTCTGGACAATTTAACAAACCCAATAAATAGAACTGTCTGCTCATCCTTATTGCTAGGGTCCCTTTTTGTGATAGAGCGTATAAATTGAAGTCAAAAGTAAACTTATGCAATACAAAGGAAAATTAAATTGTTTCTAGTTAACAAATTATTCCTTCATTCAAGCATTGCATGAAAACGCATCAGATAAAAGACCAACACGCGAGGATAGGCGGAGCAGAGACAATCAATTTTCACCAACTAAATTGTAGTAAGTTATAATCCAAATCTTTACGATTGATTTGCTGACGTTTTCGTTTAATCACTTATTCTATTTTATAATGAATAAAATTATGAAAAACGTTAATTTAAAACTAAAAAAAGGTTAGAAGTTGAACACACACGAAATTGACGAAGGGAAAAGTCAGGCGTTATCTTGTATTGGATTGTTCAAACAAACTGATAGGAACAACGACTGAGCAAACATTAGATTATCTACCTATAGAGATCATTTTATACATGATTACAGGCTTTATATATTGCCAGAAATTTTCGTCGGCTAAAAATCAATAAAGAATTGCGAACGGTTTTTTCCGTTTTACCTGCATCGGCATCCCTTTCATCGGGCCACCGGCGGTGGGCTGCATTCCGCCAGTCGGCATCATCCCCTGGTGCATGGGGCCGGTGCCCTGCATCATCCCCATACCCATTTGGCCCATCCCGCCCATGCCGTTCATACCGCCCATGGATGACGGACCCCTTTGGCCATAGCCGCCTCCGTATTGCTGGCCGTGCTGGCCGACAACACCCTGCATCTGTAACAAAACAGTAACTAGTTAACTACACTCGAAGAAAGAAACATTTTATTACAAAAATATACATTTCAATGGGGGAAAAATACGAGTACGTGTTATATTACAACTGAAAATAAGTACCTTAATTATGTATATTATATAGCATGTCCACCGTATCTTTTTTCATGTAGATAATTACAGTCGTTTTTAAATGAATTCTAAACGTTCTATGGATATTATAAAACACTACAATAAAAAAAATACAAGTCATTCTGAGAAGAAACGATAGCAAATTAACACTAATTTCCTATATTAAATTAAAAAAGCTAAAAATTTTATTTAAATAAGCACTTTAAAAATTTTATACGTCTGACGGGAAACAGAACATTATAGTATTGACAGAAAATCAACTATTTCGGAATAGATTGCAATCTTTGTTTCTTCATGGGACATTTTTCCTGTAATGGACTGCAACTCGAATAATCTTGAGATGGAAGAAGAGAAAGTAGCGAGCCGAAGCCGGCGTAAGGAGCCAGATCGGTAACCGGGCTGACGTAAATTACCTTGCTCTAAATTAAAGGATACCCAAATGTTTACAAACGATTTTCTATCCAAGTGTAAAAGGGTAAAATACAGTAGAAAGCTGTGTCGAAGTAGAGACTATTTTACATAGAAACATGACAATTAATGTGACAGTTTATACGAACAGGCAAAAGTGACTGTATATACAAATTTCAAAGTAGAAAGTGATCTATATAACCACAATTTTTTCTCATTCTATCATGCTTGATATAATTATAATTGCAGGGAAAGGTGCAGTGCGACAGAGCATTCAAAGGCGGAATACATAAAACTATTTTTACGTTATTCCCATTGTTGTTAAATGCGAAACAATCGAAGTACAAGATCATTGCAAAAATAAATAATGGTTTCATCATTGGCCCGTACAACACACACAAACATTCACTCCTCCAGAGAACTCGATATTCCTCTGGGTGGGATCTAACCCATTCCATTCTAGCTAATAAATTACTTTTATTCTTCAGACATCATACACTAACCCCAGAGTACTCGATATTCCTCGGGGCGGGGTTAACCAACCCAATACTTTCACGCTATTAAATTATTACAATTAATTAAGGTTTTTAGTTGAGATGAAAAAGCTAATGGCACGAGAGGGATTCGAACCCACGACCTTCGGCTAGATACGCCGCTGCTCTACCACCTGAGCTATCGTGACCTCGATCCACTCGGACATCAACTCCCCATCTCAACCCCACCTTATGAGTTTGAATAATGGCGAAAGGAGGGAAAACTCATAAGGTGGGGTTGAGATGGGGAGTTGATGTCTGAGTGGATCGAGGTTGAGATAGCTCAGGTGGTAGAGCAGCGGCGTATCTAGCCGAAGGTCGTGTGTTCGAATCCCTCTCGTGCCATTAGCTTTTTTTCATCTCAACTAAAAACCTTAATTAATTGTAATGTATTAATTGGTCAAGCGGACCGCGAAATTAGTGAACTATTAAATTATATTCATTCCAATAAATTAACAGAGACACAACTCATACACACATAAACGTATATACATTTAAAAATCCCTATAGCCCTGAGGTACCTGACCAGCGATCTGTGCCCGCTAACAAGAGTTTAGAAACTATAAAAGCCAAATGCTGAAGTGATTTATAAAATATAAATTTATTTTAGCATTTCTAAAATTTAAGTTTAGAACAGCATTTTTAAAATTTAAGTTATATTTTCTAAAATTATCTAACAAGCCATTTGTTTAAAATTTTTGTCTCAATAAAGTTTGGAATATAATTTATGACTGCAGAGGGCAGCGGATCGAAACTTTTTTCCTCAAAATATTTGATAGTAAAGTAAGTTTAAAGTTTAACTCTTGAGCAGTGACCCCGAGTTGTTTGTTCAGAACTTCTGCTGTGTTAAACGAGATTAAACAACTTTTCATTAATTTTGAAATATCTTTTGGTACCTATGTGATAATACAGAAACCGTTCTTTAACGTCAAGTGAAATGTACATCAACCACTGCTCCTGTTAATGTGAACCGGTATTCTAGATTGCCCCGAGGTCGAGAATAGGCCAGACCAGTTGTGTAATAGCAAAGTGCAAGATCGATTTTCGACCGTAAGACTCGGGACTTGGTCTATATTAGCGATTTAGTTTAAACCGTTTAACTATGAAAACGTTTCGGAAGTTACGACCTAAAAGGCGCAAAAGCGGCGATCGTCTCTCGGCGGATTTCCATTTTTATGAGAAGCAATTAGACTGCGAAAATAGGTTATTCATCATCTCCAGAAATAGAAGAAAAAAACACCTTAGGCTATAGGTCGTGATAATGTCAGAGTGAGGAAATTCGCTTTTACAACAGGGGCCGGCGTGGCGGTGTGTCATGAGAAATCTTGACTAAAGAAGGGACGGGCGATCACCGGGCCGCGACCACGGCCGGAATGTAGGTTAGGACGGGTTTCGAAGATATCTCGCCCCAGTGGAGGAGTATGGTTATGGAAAGGACCCGAATGAGGACACGACATTGCCTTCACAGTCCTCAGTTCGAGGCCGGCCTAACTAGCACCATTCAATCCTCTGCCTTGACACTCGATAACCTAGGCAACTTGAAACTGCATCGAGAAATCGCTTCGATTGGCGCCGGTTCTTTGACATTAACAATGAAAAAGCAATGTGGTACACCGTACTTATCTTTAGCTGTTTTTTTCTTATAATGAAAAGAAACCGATCGACTAAACTGAAAAGAAGATGCATCTCAAATTATTGTTATTTTTTTGTAATTAAACCGAATTATTTATACTATATTCCATGACTCACTTGGTCTTCTTTGTTTCATTCATTCACTTCAACAATGCGCATACAGCGTTTATTCTTCGCCATACCAAATGACGTACTAAAAAATTTGTTAATTTGTTGTTAAAAATGATATTAGGATTAATATGAAATATATTAGATAGGCTTACATTTTGAATCTCAAAAGTACTATAGTTTAACTTGAAAACACAAACATGATTTAAGGATAATATGAAGAATGAACGTTCCAGAAAATAGTTGACAATGTTTTTTGTTATATGAAAGTTATGAATCTCCGAAGAAACTCTTGACTATGGTTCAAACCTATCAAATCAAAATAAAATGTCTTCCAAAAATTCTAGTTTTCCGATATGAAAAATTATATGTTAGGAGTATTTCATTTTCGGCGACAGCGGTGTCGATACATTCTTTGGTATCTTTTTAAGGAAGACACATAAATCTACTTGGGCCAGAGCCTCCGTCGGAACTTTCACCATTGATGAGAAGCGTCGTTTTCAGTTAAAACTTATCACCTCAGGGTCGACAAATCTCTAGAAAGACCTATCAGATAATTTTGAACTTTCTGGACCACTCTGAAACGGTTTAAGACAAACTAGATCAAACTACTAACACAATATAAGTGATTTAAATTCTAATTTGTAAAGAAATGACAAAATAACGTCCGATTGGAAACAATTTTGGAGTTAGTTGTTTTCAACTGATATGTTCAACAGGCTCTAGAAATATAAACTGTCGCCAATCGATTACAACAGTTGGATAGGCTGAAGGTTGAATTTATCGTAAAAGTGTAAAATGGCACAGACATAAAATTGATAATGAACAGTGACCTCGACAGTTACTAGTAATCACGGTGTGGAAATCGTTAATAGTTAAGCCTGCACCCTATGGGCGGGTCCGTGGTTATGAAATTAAAACATTGAACCGTGTCCGAATTACGTTCGAATGATTGACTAAACTCGACGAGGGATGAGGACGAAAAACCGCGAGGCGAGGCGGACCCAGCAATGGGATAGTCGATATTTCCCCCGAGTGTAGTGGCAGAACTCGGCATAACTACTAGATTATTTGTTTATGAGGCTGATGGAAGTAATATATTCAACAGGACGATCAATGGTAAACAAAGGCATTTCTCTCTTTTTAGCCGACATCATAAATGGATAACATAATCATATATTTAACTCTAATATTATGGTATTTTACACTAAATAATATTATTTAGAACCGTTGTGAATGTTTTGCGATTCCAATGCAACCCATCTCGCCAAGAGAAAAAAAAGCAACAATAGGCAGAACCAGATAAATTCTCGGCGATAATGAACAAACAGCTGATTACAGAAAAAAATGATGGCGGGAGAATATTTCTTATTATGCAACGGCGTTGGGCTGCTTAAATTTCATGCTGAACAGGCATTGGGTCACTTACTGGGTCTGCCTTCACTCGCGGGTTTGTCGAACTACTCAACGCATTTCGGCATTACGCCATCTTCTATAGGGAACGTCCTTCTTCGAAGGAATCTCTCGCGAGTGAAGAGGGACCCAATAAATGACACAATGCCGGTTCAGCATGAATTCACAGACCCAGCTGAGTTTATTAAGGTTTGAAAATCAAGATTTGCTTTTCCTTAATGATTTTGTTTTGAAGAATTGTACCACGTTCAGTCGATTGTGTACGAGAACTTAGGAGAAAAGGCGGGCTCAAGAGACCACACACAGACATCAAAAGAAAATAGAAAGTTGAGACGCAAATACTCGGGAAATCTTGACGAGGATGATCAGAAACATTAGAATAGAATCAGAAGGAGTTCGTCATAAAGGAAATATTTAAATTAAGATTTTTACTTAAATACTCAGGAATCCATTCAACGCGAGAAGGCCTAAAGAGACATGGTTAAACAGAATTAAAGATTATAATAACACAAGTAAATTCAGTTCGGGAGAATATACAAACTTACAGTTTTCCGACGAATACGCTGTTTAGTCCAAAGGTAAAGAAAGCTGTCAACATAAATTACGAGGAAAGAAACCAAATTGTAGTAAGTATATTAATCAACATAATCAATTAAGATAATAGTATTAAATATAAAGACATAAGCTGATTCGCAGTGTTACAATTCTTAGGAAAGCAAATTAATTTTAAATATGAGCATCAGAAAATGAGCATTAGAAGCTAGAAGCGAGAAAAAT